ATAAAATGATTAAAAAAATATGATTTTATTTTTTAGGTCAATTTAATCCCTAAATTTATTTAAAATAATTTAAAAATCATATTTAATATTTTGAGTCAATTTAACCATTGTCTCACTCCTCCATTCTCCACCCTCTAATTCTTACCTTCCAAAAAAAATCCTCTAATAATAATCCTCCTCCCAATTAAAATTAGTATTACAAAATGATATTTTTCCCATAGAATGATAGCCTATTTGATATTTATGTATAGAGATTTATAATTTTAATGAGTGATCTAAATAATTAATATCCAACGCTTTTTTTTTTTTTAATATTGAGGAGGGATTCGAATCGAAATTTTTATTGACAAGTCGTACATACACTTACCATTAGATTATGACTTAGTGTACATTTAATATAAGTATTTGAACAAAATAAATTTATAAATTCTAAAAATTTTTAATGAGTAAAGATATAAGAATAAAAAAATAATTTTTAATGAGTAAAGATATTAAGGAAATAAAAAAATAAATTAAAATTATATATATATATTATATATATATACTTATATATATATATAAATAATGAATTAAAACTGCTACTGATATTGTTTGGCAATTAGATTATCAATTTTAAAAAAGATAAAATAGTTTAACATTTTAAAAATATTTTTTAATTCTCATACGGCGGAATATATATAAATATGAATTAAAACTGCTACTGATATGTTTGGCAATTAGATTATCAATTTTAAAAAAGATAAAAATAGTAACATTTTTAAAAATATTTTTTAATCTCATACGCGGGAATAAATAAGTATGTATCCTTCAAAAATTAGGCAGTAGCAATTGAATCCGAATAAAACCAGAAGTTACAATATTTAATATTTTCTTAAAAAACGTTGCAATTCTTTCAACAATTTTTTTAGTATTTAGACGTGAGTCGGTCAAAAAAGGCAATCATATCTGAGAGAATATTTAAAATGACAAGATTGACCTTTGGGAATTCGTGTAGAGTGAGAAAAAAAAATCTCTCTCTCATCTCTCGCCCTAACTCCATCTTCTTCTCATATCCTTTATGTCGATGATGATCCTCTACTCTACTACCTCCATCGGCTTTTTCCACCACTGCACCTTCTCTACCACCTTCCTTTCCTTCGTCCATAATATTTTTTTTAGCTCTCGACGATGGTTTTAGCTGCATCTTCGTTGCAAACCCCTTTGTCCACCTAAACACAATATGAATGTCGATGAATTTGTTATTCAAATTGGGTAGAAATTAAGATTGAAGCGCACAATATGAATATTAATGAAATTAAGTTTGCATATCCATTTTTATTGCTAGTCATATATACCCAACTGTAAATTTTTTTTTTCTTAGCATTTGGGTATGATTGTCATATATGCATTTAATGTTTGGAATGTAATTTTTTTTTTTTAAATTGAGGTATTCGATCTCTTGGTTGAAATTGTTTTAGATCTTGTTTTCATTAACTGTGTTGAAGTATGTGGATAATCCTACATTGGATAAATACAAACTAAGTAAATGACATATAATGAGAAGGTGAATCAATTAAAATGGCTTAGGTCATTTTGTATTAAAGATAAGCTAAACTCGTACTTGAATTTGATTAATTTGCTCATAGGGCCTAAATTTTTAACAAGCTGCATATACTTTGGTAAAAGCTCTTAAAACAGACGAAATAATTAAATTATTGGATGGAAAAAACGATAACTAATTTGTATATTTGATCAAAACTAATGGATAATTCTCCTATATTATTTTTTAGTAACAATTTTTCCAAAAATAATATAAAATCAAATTTGTTTGCTATTTTTTTAGTGTAGCAAATAGTATTTACCAATTTGTTAAATTTTCACAATATATAACATTTTGCTTTGAAAATTCATATCACAGTCTTTTGGTGAATAAGTTTGAAACTACACCATTTGGTTATATTTATATATTTTATACTTAATTTAAGAAATTTGCCTAAGCGATCTATTTTTAACAAACATCAGAGCTTCCATCTAAAAGTTAACAATTTGAAGCTAACACCATCTCATCAAAGTCTAGCAATCCTTAACTTTAGACACGTTCGTTTTTTCTTAAGAAGGCAAGTCCCCCTGCCCAAAAGTCGAAAAGCCCAGCCCATCATTTTGGCCTTTCACCTAGACCAGAGTATGTAAAGGTAATGTAGCATGTAGGGTTATTCATGGTTTAGGAATATTTGTACAAAATCCAATTAATTATGACAGTTTTTAAGAAATTTAAATCGATCTAATTTATGGAAGTTATTCAAACCAAATCAATTATTATTATAAAAGAAAATAAACAAAAATTACATTAACAAATCATTTATATTTATGAATGAAAAACCACTTGCTGATTTACTATGTGTGAGACGTAAATAAAATTTTGAGTATGAGAAATTATATTATTTAACATATGTAAGATATAAATTATTGAAAAGAAGTAATTGGTCATCTGAATTTGATTTTTATATATTCTATTTGAACGGTTTTGAATACAAAATTAGAAAAAAATTTACTTTTTATTTTTTATATTTTCAAATTAAATCAAACAACTAAATTTTCAAAATTATGATATTTAATCTTTTTAAATAATTTACTGAAATTGATGAATACTCGTAATGACAAGTCCAAGTCTTTTCCCATGAAAAGTTGATAATAATTTGTTTTAAATAAAGCTAGCAGACAGGCCAAAAATCAAAAGGAAAAGCAATAACTTTTTTGCTTTACCTTGTAAACTTTAAACTTCTTTAATTTGCGTGAAACACGAAACATCTTTAATTAGTTCAACACATTACTCTTTAGTTCCCACTAACAAAAAGAAATTTAATATATATATATCTCATGATTGATCTTGATGATGAGCCATGATCTCTATCCATGTACTCTCTGAAGCCAAATCATGCTCACACGTGCTTGATGAATCCAACGACTGCTCTTTCTCACGTGGCAATGACTTGTATGCAAATACTGCATAAAATAAACCTTTAAGCCTACGTAAAGAAGGTGGTCTCTTAATAAAACCTCTTGGCCTATCACTTAGAAACTTCAAACCTTCCGTTTCTGATAATGGTTTTTTATGCCAAAATGCTGGGCATGACTTTACTGAATAACCACTGTTATTACCGCTTCCACGTAGCGAAATTTCCTCTCTTTCACACCCATCAAACATGATTCCCTCCTCCGCAGCAGCATCGGCATTTTCCTGCAGCTTCAATGCCAACTCAAGCTTTTGCAACACTTTGGCCATTGTAGGTCTTTCATTTCTATTCTCGCGCAAACACTTGACTGCAATCGTCTGATAGACCTTCAAACATGCTGGCGCTATTTCACCCGTTAGATTAGGGTCAATAATTTGATCAAGCGTTCCATCTTTAACATGTTGTCTGGCCCACAGAACCAAACTATGCTGCTCTTCTTCCAGCCTTATGTCTACTGCTGGTCTAGCACATAGTACTTCAAATAGTAATACTCCAAAGCTAAACACATCAGATTTTACACTCAAGTGGTTAGTGAAATAGTAAGAAGGATCTAAATACCCAAATGTACCCTTTACATCGGTGGTTACGTGGCTCATAGATAAGCTTGTAGGGCCCAATCTCGACAGTCCAAAATCAGAAACTTTTGGGACCCAATTTTCATCAAGTAAAATGTTAGTGCTTTTGATATCACGATGGATTATGACACTATGCTCCGCACCTGCATGAAGATATTTTATTCCACGAGCAGCTGCAATGCAAATCTCTAGCCTTTGTTTCCATGGGAGCGGAGGATTATGAGTATGATAAAGATGAGCACGGAGGGTTCCGTGGGCCATGTACTCGTAAACGAGGACCATGAGCCGTTGATCATTGCAGTAACCGATCAGAGACACAAGATGAGGATGACGGAGCTTCGAAAGCATCTCAATCTCTGTCCAGAACTCTTTAGATCCTTGGCTTGAGTTAGGTTTAAGAGCTTTAATAGCTACTGGTGTGGTTTTTTCACTGTCCAAGTAACCTTTGAATACTCTACCAAATCCTCCATCTCCGATTAGAAGATCTCTGTCGAAGTTGTTGGTGGCGTTTCTTATCTCTTCAGCTGTAAAACGGCGGCAAATTCCTTCCGGCACGGGATTCATGTTCTCTTCACTGTGTCTTTTCCTTTTACAATAAAAGAAAACTGTGAAGCAGATAAGAAATAATAAAACAATTGTACCTAGTGCACCTCCAGTAAGGGCAAGTATCTCTGCACTCATTTTCATGGAATTTCTGGGCTTGCTTGTCTGGTTAAGAGCAGAAACTGTAAATCTAGTAAGGGTAGTTAAGTGAGTGGTGGTGGAATTGGAAACTAATGAGACATTAGGGCATTGGAGAGCAAAGGAATCCTTGTTTCACTTTTTTTCTAAGTCTTCTATGGCAGCTAGACGCGTTCATGGTTGGTTTGATTTGGTTCTGTAACAGAGCAACATTGCTTGGAAATTATTGGACAAGACAGGGCTAAAGATATACTTCTTACATAAAATTAAAAGAAAAAAGGGGACTTTGATTCCTGGAAAAGTTGCTTTTGACTCTCACTAAGAAATAAGAACTAGTGTGAGAACTATGGCGCACACCCTTGAACTGAATGGTTTAGTAAGAAATTAATGTAAATGAGATTATTCATTTAATAAATAAATTTATAATTTCAATTATTGAAGGGAAAGAAAATAATTTAGAAAACAAAATCTTAAAATACGTATGTACTATTACTTCTATCTAATTTATTTAATCAAACAATTAAGCTCACTTTAACAATTATTCCAAGTCATTCTTTATAGTTTTAGAAGAGACCAGCAGCATCATCTTTAGGAAAAATTGTGTTTTATAATTAAAGTCTTCTCCTTTCTTTTATCTTATGAATGGTCGACACGAGGCAGCTTTATTTGCATTGCCACTCCAAATTATCTCCTTCGCTTTTGGTAAAAGCACGACAATTATTAGTCATGTTGTTCTCTATATTATCACTTGATAAAGAAACCAGAATCGTTCATATTTCCACAGATAAATAAGCCTGGAACTTCTTTTTTTTTCCCTTAGCTTTTATCTCTTATGTGGCTGTCGTTCGATCTTTTTATTCATTTAATTAAACTCAATTTTATTGACATTTATTGCCGACAAAGAAAGTGTTTTGCTTTTCATTTAACATTGCTCTACATGCTTTCTGTTCTTTTACATATAAATAATATATATTTATATATATAAATTCAAGCAAAGATATTGCGATAAATAAATTCAAGTTATATATAGGAGATATTATTCGTTTATATCTATATATTGACTCATCTATATACCAATACAATAAATAATTGTTTAAAAAACTTTTATAACTTAACTTAGTGGAAAGTGGATATAATAGATTCATGTTCGAATCCCCTTCCAATATTAAAAAAGAGAAAAAATACGACTCTTTTGTCTTATTTTTTTATGTCTCTACTAATATTCTCCTGCCCTTATAATTAATTATTATTGCATAACGTTAATAAAATGTATTCATTTAAATCTTGCCACATTAATTGTATAGACAATCTCTGCAGTTATATTCATTAATATGTTTTTACAAAATAAAAAAAAAAACTCCAGTGTTATGGCATTGTAACCACAATGGTGACTTCCCTGAGAATTTTCATTTTTTTTCTTTTGGAGGCCAAATTCAAAATGTCGGTGTTAAGATTACAATATCCCAAAGTGGTTTTTAATTATACATGTGAAATATTAAAATTTTAAACTCAGTTTCAAAAACCGGATGGAAGTTTCCCCTTATTTAGAAACAGGAGAAAATATATTGACGGAATAATATTTTCCTTCAATATTTCACTGCCATTTGATATTAAAATCAATAGAATGATCCATGCATAGGACAAACTAATAAGGGTATGTTCAGCAAAATTACTTAAAAAAATCTGGCATTTTACAGCACAAAATCACACATTATTTATGATTCTGATTATTTTCTTAACAATTTCAAATACTCATTAACCATTCTACAGAAACTAAAACGGAAATGCATTAAGAGCTGATGGTATCAGAGAAGCTATCAGACGAAATACTGGGAAAATTATCAGTTTCAAACTCAGACCAACCATATATATTTGCACGTAGAGAAGGATGAATTAGTACTTGGGGATATGAATGTTCACCTCCAGGATTCATTTTTTCCTTCTCAGAATCTGCAGTTTGTTGCAACTCCAATGCAAACTCAAGATTTTCTATTACATCATCCATACAAAGTCTTTGAATACCTGTACGACGCACACAATTCGCTGCAATCTCCACATATTTATTAAGACACTCTGGAAATATTTTTCCTCTTAATTTAGGATCAATTATTTGATGAATGGTTCCATTTTGGATGCAGTTTCGCGCCCAATCGATTAAACTTACCTCTTCTTTATTCAACTGCATGTTGGTTACTGGTCGAGCACATAATACTTCAAACAACACAACACCAAATGAGTAAACATCAGATTTTTCTGTTAATTGGCGGCTAAAATAATATTCTGGATCCAAATACCCAAATGTACCTGCTGCATCAGTGCTAACTGCATAAATATTTACCACGGATTTTGACAATCCAAAATCTGAAACTTTGGCAACACAATTTTCATCTAACAAAATGTTAGAAGTCTTTATATCTCGATGTATTATGGTATGTGAATCGCCAGCATGAAGATAATGAAGTACGCGTGCTACTGCAATGCAAATCTCTAGCCTTTGTTTCCATGGGAGTGGAGGATTATGACTATGATAAAGATGATCACGGAGAGTTCCGTGGGCCATGTACTCGTAAACGAGGACCATGAGCCGTTGATCATTGCAGTAACCTATCAGAGATACGAGATGAGGATGACAGAGCTTCGAAAGCATCTCAATCTCTGCCCAGAACTGTTCAGATACTAGGCTTGAGTATGGTTTAAGAGCTTTAATAGCTACTGGTGTGGTTTTTTCACTGTCCAAGTAACCTTTGAATATTCTACCAAATCCTCCCTCTCCGATTAGGAGATCTCTGTCGAAGTTGTTGGTGGCATTTCTTATCTCTTTAGCTGTAAAACGGCGGCAAATGGCTTCCGGCATGGGATTCATGTGCTCTTCACTGCTTCTTTTCCTTTTGCAATAAAAGAAAACTGTGAAGCAGATAAGAAATAATAAAACGATTGTACCTAGTGCAGCTCCAGTAAGGGTAAGTATCTCTGCATTCATTTTCATGGAATTTCTTGGCTTGCTTGTCTGGTTAAGAGCAGAAAATTTAAATTTAATAAGAATGGTTAAGTGAGTGGTGGAATTGGAAAATGGAGAAACTAATAAGACGTCAGGGCGTTGGAGTCCTTGTTTGATGGAAATTCTCACCAAATTAAATATGAATTAGAGAATAATTAATTTTAACAACTGAAAAAAAATACTAAATTATCTTTCTTTTTTTTTTTTTTCTAAATGAAAATATATAATTTTTCAAGGTTGAGCAATCCTTACTTAACCCTTATGTTTTTGTTCAAGGTGGAGCCCAGGCTCATGCGTTGCTTGTCTGGTTAAGATCAGAAAAATTTAAATTTAATAAGAATGGTTAAGTGAGTGGTGGAATTGGAAAATGGAGAAAACTAATAAGACGTCAGGCGTTGAGTCTTGTTTGAGGAATCTCACCAAATTAAATATGAATTAAAGAGAATAATTAATTTTAACAACTGAAAAAAAAAATTATCTTTTTTTTTTTTTTTTTTTCTAAATGAAAATATATAATTTTTCAAGGTGGAGCAATCCTCACTGAACCCTTAAGTTTTTGTTCAAGGTGGAGCCCAGGCTCATGACTTTGGGCTGCAAAGCCTGGCCCATCATATCACCCTTAATTTACTTTTTTTTTTTTTTGAAATATTTAATCTACTTTCCTGATTACAACCATAATTCATTTATTTAAACAATTAATAAATTTAAACAATTAATAAGCTTGACCTTAAATAATTATTCCAAGTCATTCTTTACAGTTTCAGAAAGAGACCAGCACCATCATTTTCAGGTGTCCACACATAGCATTACAACTTTGATTTATAATTTAAGTGTTTTCTGTGCTTAATATGCCTTTTCTTTTCTTTTATCTTATGCATGATCCACATGAGGCTGCTTTATTTGCATTGCTACACCAATTATCTCCTTCTGTTTTTTTCTTAGAAAAAATATCCAATGATCTCCTCCACTCTTCGTAAAAGCGCGATATTTTTTTTTTTAGATTCATATGAGTAATGATTGCTACTTTACAATAAGGAACGCGACGCTCGGTAAGAAGCCTATACTACCCGACTTTGGCATTATGATTATTTTCTTAACAATTCCTACTATTTCAAATACGCATTAATCATTCTAGACAAATTAAGACAGAACCATTAAGCAAACAACACAGACACACTTTCCAATTACAAAAATCACAAGACAGGAAACCAATATTTCTAGTTCCTTGAAGAGTTGATGGTATCGGAGAAGCCATGGCTAGACGTTAAGCTAGCAGACAACATACTGGGAAAAGTCTGTCCAGTAGTAGTATCTGTATCAGTATCAAGATCCATTAACCCACTTGCATTACTTGAATCCAACTCAGACCCACCAAATATATTTGCATATCGAGAAGGATGAAATGATACTTTAGGATATAAACATTCACCTCCAGGATTCACTTTTTCTTTCTCAGAATCTGCAGCTTGCTGCAACTCCATTGCGAACTGAAGCCTCTCCATTACATCATGCATAGAAGGTCTATCAATACTCTGATCACGCACACAGCTCTCTGCAATTTCTACAAATTTATTAAAACACTCTGGATATATTTTTCCTACTAATTCAGGATCAATTATTTGATGAATATTCCCATTTTGGATGCATTTTCGCGCCCAATTGACTAAATTCACCTCATCTTCATCCAAATTGCGGTTGACTACTTTCCGAGCACATAGTACTTCAAATAATACAACACCAAATGAGTACACATCAGATTTTTCTGTTAATTGATGGCGTCGAGCATATTCAGGATCCAAATATCCCCATGTACCCTTTACTACAGTACTAATTGCAGAATTGTTTACACCAATTTTTGACAATCCAAAATCTGAGACTTTAGCAACCCAATTTTCATCTAACAAAATGTTAGTAGTCTTTATATCTCGATGAATTATAGTGTGTGAAGCACCAGCATGAAGGTAATGAAAACCCCGCGCAGCTCCAATGCATATCTCAAGCCTTTGCTTCCATTCAAGTGGTTTCTTGTTATTTTCATAGAGATGGTCTCGAAGAGTACCATTGATCATATAATCATAAACTAGTATCATTTCACCTCCATCGATACAATATCCTATTAAAGATACAAGATTGACATGGCGGAGTTGGGAGAGCATTTCTATCTCTGTCTTGAATTCGCGAGCACCCTGTCGAGACTCTCGATTCAAGCGCTTGACTGCAAGAGTCGTAGCTCCATTATCAAAATTAGCTCTATAAACATTTCCAAATCCACCTGAACCAATTATCAAACTCCCATCAAAATCATTTGTTGCTTCTTTAATCTCTTCTAGTGAAAAATGGCGGCATAGTTCTTGCGGTAGTGAGGAAGAAGCTGTTGTCCTTGATGATTTACCTTTGTAAGATTTCAACCGCAAACAATAGCTTAATGATTTATAATAAGCTCCATGATGATGCTTTCTCTTCCTCAGTTGCCAAGCAACTAAACAACCCAACAAAGAAATTATTATCAAACCACCACCAAATGCAAGGAACAGTACCTTTTTAGTATTGGACTTGCTGTTTGTTGTTGATGGTGGCTGGCTGGCCGGCGCTTTGTTAGTTGTTGGAGAGACAGACACAACAGGATTAGGTCCGGCAAGATTACCGTTAGAATCATTCAACTTGAAAACTTCAAGCCCATTCAAGAAAGAATCAGCGGACATACTAGAAGAATTCGGCCTTAAAGTTATTAAAATGATATAATCATCTGCAACCTCTCCTTTCTCCTTCCCAGTTGCGAATATATAGTCATTATATATAGGAGTCAACACACCACCGCTTGATTCAATAACATCAAAACCCAGATTCGCCGTCTGATTGTCGACATAGACATTGAATCGTCTCATGTTAATTTCAACATCTTCATTAAATTCACAAAAATGAAGCCTTACAAGGTACTTGAATCCTCGATCAACTGGTAAAATCCAAGTCAAATTAGTATCACCGATTCTCATTCCCCGATCTGTCAAGTAAACATCAACGGGTGCTATATAAGCTGGAATTCTTGAATAATTAAGAGAAAGACCCAAACCATCATCGACAAGGCCTCTGTCATTTGAGAAAATGGTATCAACATCCCATAATCTATACATGCCAGTATCACTCGTAGACGGAACGGTGCTTGCTCCAACATTTAATCTATAAATATTTTCTAATGCAGTGTCATTACCCACATAAAACTTTTCTCTTTCGCCGATGAATTGAAGACCTTTAATCTCTGGTGGCGTATGGTAAAGATTAGCAGGCATGGATAAAATCTCAATTCCATTAATAAAAGCATAGGAATTGAAAGATGGAGAAAAAGTTAAATTCAGTTGTTGATTCTCTCCGACGTGTAAGCAGAATTCTTTAAAGAAAGTCTCTTGCCCGTTAGAAGAATAAAGAGAGGCACTGAAGTTCTTGAGTAAAGTGAAAGGTCCTGTTTTGACGTCAAAGAAGTCCTTAGACTTGTTAAATCCGCCTTGATAATTAGATGGGTAGAAGAAGAGGCGGATAAATTTTTGACCAGCAGTAACAGGGAATGTATAAGTGAATTGGGATTGAGAGATGCGAGCTGTCATATAAGGAACAGACGCGACAGAGCTGCCTTGCCTAAGAGCGATGGCGGATACTGATTTGGTGGAATTGGAATGGTCTACAGGGCCAAATTTGGAGTTTAAATCACCAGTCCATTTGCGGCCATCACCTGTGGTTGTTTGGCCTGAAGAGCCACAATTGGAAAGGATTATGTCAGTTGGAACGTAAGGAGGTTTAGAAATGGCGATTTTGATGTGTTGCAGTAAAAGAATGAAGAGAAAGGAGGAGATAGGTTTGGGAAATGAATGGATATCCATGGACATGCGCGAACAATCTAACAGCAAATAGCTAGTCCTGAAGATTGGATTAGATTGATGAACTCGTGAATTTGAACTACTGATAATAATATTGTTCAATTCATCATCTTCAAACTGCAAAGGTATCTATTAAAAGCTAGTAGATTGGCCCCATACCCAGGTATTCCAGTCAATTTCCAATTAGTGTGATCGCAAAACCAATTTAAGTTCAAAAGTAGACTTCGGCAGACCTCTATTCATTGTTGATATTGTAACATGTGAAAGCAAATTCACTTATTGACTATTATAGTGTAAACCTGAAACTTTGTTCAAAAAGTGGCCTTCTCTTTTCTTTTCTTTTTTTTTTTAACTACTAATTATTTTTAAACAAAAAGCAAATCGATATCTCCGTGGAATTGACTACCTACATTTTTTTTAATATAATACTACATCCGTTCTCTTACTTTAAAGAAAATAGAACAAACTTTAGTATTAAAGAAATAGTTCAACATAAATTTTTATCTATTTTTTGTCAATAATACCTCTAATTAGCTTTAAATGTATGATTAATAATCAGAAAAACAACTCATTACTAGAGTATTTCTAAGGTTGCATTTGTTAGTCAAAATCTTTTAGAATTACAAGAGTCTTCTCAACTTCAAATTCAGTAAATTTACATTGTTTTCAAAAATAGGGCACTAGTAAGCAGAAATGACGAACTCATCTTCTTGATACTATGAAAGAAGGACATTGAGTTTGTTCGCTAAGACAAAAATTTGTGCGCATATTAGTAAGGTGCAATGTCAATTTAAAGGCAATTTTTGGCGATAGGATACAACAATATAAATCCGTGACAATTTATGAAAACTTTCTAAGAAAAAATAGTCATATTCATGTCACATGTGTAAAGTTGAGCAAACTTCTTTTGCCATAAAGACTTTTTTATTATTAACGCACAACAATTAAAATATGTGGTCATATTAGGATACCTCGCTGATCCAATACTCTTATTCGGGCTCAAATTTGTAAAATTGAGCACATTTCTACTAAACAGCTCATAAATGTAGCAATTACTCATGCTTTGGAAACATAAGTTCATTAATTGCCCAACCCACATTTTGTTTGCCACTATCTTGTTAATTGAACCCAAATAAAGGCAGTAATAAGGGTTATTGAAGGGCATTTTAGACTTTTTTTTTTGGTATCCTTTCCAAAATTTTCATTTATGATAAAATTCTCTATATAAAATAAATATCGAAAATGGAAATTTTCTCTAAAATAAGAGAACTGAGAGATTACGTTAGGATATCATAATAATTTCAAACTAACATAATAATACATGAAGAATAGGGTCCTTTTCCGGAGATTAGATATTAAGCAATACTGTTATAACTAAAGTAATAGTATAATAAAGTTTGTTCATCTAATAAGAAATCTAATGAAAATGAAAAACTAAAAAGTAAATTTGAAAATTTTTAGATCTAATAAGTAAATTTGAAATTTGTAGGTTGCTGCAAAAAAGGAAAAAAAAAGATTTACATATGGTGAAGATCACAAATAACTCGGCACAAGATGAACATAAACCATAAGAAAATAACAAAAATATAAATAATATAGATTGATAATTTATTTAATAAAAATTTAAATTTACAAAAGAAAAAGAGAAAAGAGGGAGGAGCTGTCACTTTTGATTCTTGTATTTTATTGAAAAAGAAAATAATTTTAATAAAGAAGAAGGAGAAAAGAAAAGAGAGAGCTGCTGCGATTTTTTATTTAAACTTGTAAATTCACTATTTATATAAATGAATATATAAAAGTTGAAGCTTGCTTATATATATGTGGCGATTTTATGTTGACATTATACTGTGAGTTTATTGTTGAAGTGGCATCATATCTTTTTTTTTTTTTTTTTTTAGTTTTTTTGTTAAGGTGAAGATCAACAAAAAACTCGGCACAGATGAACATAAACCATAAGAAATAACAAAAATATAAATAATATAGAATTGATATTTATTTAATAAAAATTTAAAATTTACAAAAGGAAAAAGAGAAAAGAGTGAGAAGCTGTCAGCTTTTAGATTCTTGTATTTTATTGAAAAAAGAATAATAATTTTAATAAAGAAGAAGGAAGAAAAGAAAAGAGAAAGCTGCTGCATTTTTATTTAAACTTTGTAAATTAAACACGATTTTATATAAATGAATATATAAAAGTTAAAGCTTGCTATCATATATGTGGCGATTTATGTTGACATTCTATACTGTGAGGCTTTATTGTTGAAGTGCATCATATCTTTTTTTTTTTTTTTTTTTTTTTTTTTTTTTTTTTTAGATTTTTTAGTGATTTAGTATATTTGTCTGCCATTAAAAAAGGGATTAGCTTGTGTTCTTAATTTTCCATCTTCTTCTTTGCTGCGCCATAAGAACATTATTTCAGTATATTAGACTTTGTTGAGAAGAGACTGGCAAGTTGTGGTTAAACATGTCTATAGAGAGGATATTGGTGTTGCTGATGCATTGGCCTCCTCTGCTCTTCTTTTGGATAGAGGCCTGCATGTGATTCAAGATCCTCCCTGTAGCATCAGATTTGAAAATATGTTTCAGGAAAATAATTTATTTTCTTTTATTTAATCTCAATTTAAAACTGATAAATTGTGGTGTTCATAGTAATAGCAGTGGTGATCGTGATTAGTACATGGTGATTATTGATGATTGATGATGATACCTACCCATGAATCAATGTATTAACATTATATAAAGTTATAATTTCAATTTTCAAAAAATATTTTTCTCTTTTTGAAAAATTTTAAAATGACTTATAATTATTTTATGACAATAAACTTATAGAAATGTTTTTATCTTACAAAGTTGTCTAAAAACTTCCAAAAGTATACAACTTTGTATATATGAAATAATTCAAAAAATTATATTTTTTAAACAATTCTTACAGTTAGTAATTCTTTCATTTTCAAATTGTAGCATTAATTAACATTTAATTATATTTAAAAAAAAACATTTAATTATCAATTACACAAATCTTTAAAAATTAAAACGTTTTAATAATAGTGGGACTAATGAGCAACCAAAATACATATAATTCACAAATGCCATCAAAATTAGCAACCAAAAGCATAAGTTCTTTATTCTTCTGCCGAAAACTGACATACGTTGCCCACTGAAGTAAGAAGAAACGCATTCTTGATCAGACAATAACATGACAACAATGGGATTGGAAAAAAAAAAAAAAAAATTTGGAAAAAAGGGAAAAGAAAAAAAAAAAAAAAAGAGGAGAAAAAGAGACAGAACAGCGATGATTGAACGGCAGAAATAAAGCAGATGATCTAACGGTAGCATTCGTCATCTATTTATAGCATTCGTCATCTCTTTTATGTGGTTTGTAAGGAGGGCAATTGCAATTCCTATATGAACGACCTTTTTTACATACAGGTACCGAAGTTGGAGTGTATGTATATCCAGCAAATGAATTCCCACCCTCTTGAAGCATCCGGCTTATGTCAGAATCCAGCAAAAACTCCACCTCCAAATCGTCGGCGATGAGGCAGTCGTCGAGGTTTCCATCGTCGCAACTGAAAGAGGTGTTTCTACTGCTTATCTTGTAATCAAGAAATGCAGCTCTGCAACTATTATTGGTGCTGGAAAATATTAACAGCACCAACAATAATACAAGAAGAGTATTATTATTATTATTAACACCCATTTCTTTTCCAACTCTTATCCTCTCTCCGCTCATTTCTTGTCACCTTACACTCAGTATGTGTATATATAGACTCATGGAGGAGTGGACTTACAAATATGACCCGATGCACTAAAACCTAGAAGTGAAATAATTGTTCTACAAGTTCTTTTCTTCAAAAAAAGAAAAAGGGAAAATGCAATTATATTTT